TTTCTAGCTCGTTTTTATTCCTTTAATTTCTGTTAGATTTATGTCAAGCAATATTTTTTTTCTATTTACAGTAATGGCAAAATGAATTCATTGGTTAACTTCAATCATACCAGATTTATATTTTATGTATGGATGCCCACCATGTATAACAGGTGGTTGACATCAGGAAGTGATTGAAAATTGAATCTGCATACACACATTTCTTCTCACCCTCCCTGGCTCTATCTGTGGTGGAACTTATATTCTCCTGACACATAGTCTGCCCCTTGCTGCAATTTCATTTTACATGCAATTAAGGCAACAAAGCCTAGCATCTCTGTTCCCTCATTCTAAAGGCCTTGCATCCATTCTAATAAATTTCCTGCCTACGAAAGCATCCTGTATGGCTGATGTTTATTTTCTAAGTAACCCCTTCTCACCCTCAGTGATTTCAGTTCACTTAGTTATGTCACACCAGCTCCTAACTATGTTATATTGGAGCTATATCACAACAAATTGCTGACTGATCTACCTAATGGATTGCAAGTCTTGCATTGCTTTAGTGGAGCAAAAACCCTGAAAAAACCTGCATACAGAAGACTGACACAAACAGTTGTTTATAGATTCTCGACAAAGATCTGGAAGTGAATATTAAAAGAATTTTCCAGTGCAAACCGAAAGAGTGGTCTGGGGATGAACAGAGTTCTGGCCTAAACTGAGAAGGTGCTGAGTTAGACAGCCCCAATAACATCACCTGGCAGAGCAGCACACACCTCACCAGTCTGCAGCTTCCTGCAACTAGAAAGAAGGCTATGAATCCCTCCAGCTATCCCTTCCCCCACTGTAAACTTCCAACTGGAATGCAGTATGTTCCAGTTCATCTAGTCCACTATTACATCTCATACACTAGCTTCTTCTAGAGGCGTCAGAGGAAGGTGTAAAAATTCCCATAAATAATAATTATGGAAAAAACCCTGCCCACAGGGAAAGGTTTTTCTCCATAACTTGCCATTAGTGGTTGATTGAAGCCCTTAAGAGTGAAAGTTTATATCCCTTCTAAATGATTTTTTTGCTCCATGAGGTAACTATGGCTCCAGATTATATATGAATCCTACTAATCTTTTTGCCCAAGGATAACTTCCAACAATGTGTTTCATAGATTAATTATGCGTTGTATAAACAAGTACCAGATGTATCTAAATAAAGCAAAACAAGCCATTGAAAAGAAGAAAACGGGGCTCTTCCCCTCAAAGTCAGCGATCTAAAATACAAAATCACGACTGCCTGCCTGTTTCCTCATTTCTAGAGCCACAAAATATTGTTTCTCACCTCAAAGGAATACCACCACGCAATGCATAACAACTGCCAAGGACAGGCACAAACAGCTTTTTAGATATCATGGTGTCTCCTTAGGCTGTGCGATAAGCCAGATTCAACGTTATTAAATTGTAATTGGTAACACTCTTGCCTTTCCCTACCTAAGCAAAGTCTGAAGAAATCCATGTAGCCACCTCTTCTGGAAAACATGGCCATCTTTTAAGGTCTAAATCTTCCTCAAGCCAAAACTGGTTTGATCCATTGGCTATACTCTTGTGAAGGGTAGGCAGGAGCAGGCCTTTCTCAGTTTTTGTCAGCTTTTGAAAACCTAGTGCCCTGTTGCCAGGCAACAGTTGAGAGAGTCCTGAGCTCTTGGAGTACAATCCTGCCTTTGTAGAAAGAAAAGCATGAAGGATGCAAGGATTTCTTGTGTCCTGTTGTCTTTCTTTGCCCAGAATTCCAATTCATAGCTGGTAAAGATCTCTCTTCATGACGCATTACTGTACTTAAATGACAGTTAAAGGGTGAAACTTTTCACAACAGAGGTACTGTCCGTTTCACTAACAAATATGAATTATTTCCTGTCCTGAACCAAAAGACAAAACAAAAAAAAGACCCAAGTAGTCTGTATTGCCCAGAATTCCATTTAAGGTCATTAGCAATGTCTTAGCTCTATTATCAATCTGGAGACACACATAAGCAAGGAGAAAGCATATGCCATTTCCTTGTAAATACTGCGGTTTTAATACCTTCTCACTCAAAATCATAAGGAAAATAAATTTAATAAATAGAATGTATAAGAGTTTTCTGTTGTGGTCTTAGCAGCTTTTTTTAATACAGCCATGCCTGCCTCCTCTCAATATACAATGCAGTGGAATCCAAATGCTGTACCTTTTAAATATTTTAAACTTTTGAACTGTTTTCTTTCTGCTAGAGTTTAATTAACATAATGTTCTTCCTTTCATAAAAGAGATTATTCATACACATACTACTCCTTTAAAGTAGATGGGACTAACTACTACAACAAAGTGTTGTCTTATCCCACCAGCCAACAGGGACAGGATATTAGTTCATTGGGCTGTCTTGCTATTTGCAATGGGAAACATACCTTGTTACGGCAAGGCACAAGTTAATTTGAGCAGTCACAATAACACAGTTGCTGCACCACATCAGACAACTGAAAAGAATCCTACTGGTTGTTCAAAAGGCCAGAAGCAGAGTAGATTTCATGGTTATTCTGTTTCTGGCAAATCTCTACCTGTGTCACAACTGTAATTTTCACCACATCAGACTTCTCTGTTATAACCAAAGTATTATTACTAATAAATGGGAATAGGACATGGATTATAGGTTGGGGAAACTTCTGTTTACAAAATGCATGCATTCAGAGTTCTCAATATAAGGAAAAAATAGCCACATCTACATGAAAAGCAAATCAACAGATTTAATCATATGTTTCCAAATCTGAACTCAGCATGAAGATTTTAAAAAGAGTAATAACTTCTTATACCACAATTTTGAGTACATAAAACAATCTTTGCGTTTGTTGGAACTGAACTGCCCACAGTGCTTAACTTCCAGTGACCTTTTCCTATGAACATCTCTTTAATATGGCACGTGCTAAAAATAATACAATTATAGTAGTAAAGACTTACCTAAAATAAGAGAGGCAGTTAAGAAACATACTTTAAGCCTCCATTAGATGACTGTTGCGGGAGCTTGTAAACTCACCTGGTCAGCAAACATTAGTTAAAAAAGAAAAACAACTTAAAAGAGAAACTCCTGGAATTCATGATCCAAAATAAAATTTTAAATGCCAAAGAGAATTAAAAAATGTGAAAAAAAATCTTACCATACCAGTAAATAACAACAAGTACAGAGGAGGACCACAAGGATGATCAGGGGACTGGAGCACCTCCTGTATGAAGACAGGCTGAGAAAGTTGGGGCTGTTGAGCCTGGAGAAGAGAAGGCTGCGTGGAGACCTCATAGCAGCTTTCCAGGATGTGAAGGGGGCCTATAGGGATGCTGGGGAGGGACTCTTCATTAGGGACTGTAGTGATAGGACAAGGGGTAACGGGTTAAAACTTAAACAGGGGAAGTTTAGATTGGATATAAGGAAGAAGTTCTTTACTGTAAGGGTGGTGAGGCACTGGAATGGGTTGCCCAGGGAAGTCATGAATGCTCCATCCCTGGTGGTGTTGTTCAAGGCCAGGTTGTACAGAGCCTTGGGTGACATGGTTTAGTGTGAGGTGTCCCTGCCCATGGAATTGGGGTTGGAAGTGGATGATCTTAAGGTCCTTTCCAAGCCTAACTATTCTATGATTCTGTGATTCTATGAATACCTAGTACCTCCTGCAATATAATCAGAAGTAATCAAAAGGGGTCTCATTGCTAAAAGTGATACATTATTGCAAGGACAGAGGAATATCACTGGAGCAACAAGTACCTGACCTAAATCTGTCCTATGAAAGAACAGAGAACCTGCAGCTAGCAAGAATAGACCTTCTAAGGAAAATGATGCTTTATAATAGCCCTTTTCAGATTTATTTCTATCTCCATTAAAATGATTCACTATTAAAGACAGGTCTATTTACATGTTTCTATTTATGTGCACATATATGGGTTAGGAAGGAAATAATGCGCAAATGCATTGTGCAATAACAGTTAGTGTACTTTTTTGCCTTAAATTGACAATTATTTAAAGTACATTACAGCTGATCTTTAAGCTTATCTCCCTCTCCCTTTGTAAAGTTGGAGTTATTTAATATGACTTAATGACTTAATATGGAGTTATTTAATATGATACCAGGCAATGTACATCTACAATATCCCTCAACACTAAATTGCAAACTTTTATCCTGTATCAGGATGATGGGTCATTCAAGAGTGTCAAGGACAGTATAGTCTGACGTTTCTAGCAATAATCCTAATATCGTTGAGATGAACAGTCATGTTTACAGAATGTCAGTTGTTCTACATTCTCACTTACTGCTCAGCAGTATTTACTGTTCCTTTGGGTATCTTGACTTGTGTCAGAAATAATTCAACAAAGAGTTCAATAACAAGAGTTACAGTTCTTTCCTGTGGGTGAGGGTGGCAGAGACCTAAACACAGATTTTCAGTAACCAAAAGGTAGCTATGGAGAAGATGGGGTTACTTTCTTCATGAGGATGTATGGTGACAGGACAAGAGGTGATGAACGCAAGCTGCTCTGAAGAAAGCTCAGACAAAATTTACTAATGCTGAGAACAGTTACACATTGCAGTAGGTTGCCCAGACAAATAATGGAATCTCGGTTGCTGGAAATATCCAAGTCTCAGCTTGAACGACCCTGGATAACCTCTTGTAAGACCCTACTTTCAACAGCAGCGTTGACCTCATGATCTCAATTTTCCATGATTCCTTCCATAGCTTTGCCTACAGAACATAAATTTTGCCCTAGAAAGTGAGCTATGCATGATCTTTTGGAAAGAGCCTAAAAGCAGAATTTGCACTCAAGAAAGCTATGTTACATGTAATAGGTCTGAAAGCTTTAGGTTTTGCAACTTCTCTCTCCATAAAACAGCTAACAGGTGAAGTAATCATATGACCTTGAAAGACTATTACACACCAGATCTCTTATTCATTTTAATACCTTAGAGTTCCTTCATAGTCATAAGTCATTAATCTTTTCATTGTTGTAGATGGTACAGTATGAACGAGTTATACTGCAGAAGTAACAGAAACAAGTCAAGCATCATATGAACTCATGAAGTACGACTTTAGTATTATCTGCCACTTCTTTCCAATATCTTTGAAAATAAATCAATTTGTTCAGTGTTCTTGGTGACCATACCAGTATGTATGCCATTGTTATGGAGGAAGCCACCAGACCTGTGCGCCTATGCAAGAAAGTCCTGTCAGCAAAACTAATGGATGTCAGATAAATAAGCTTAGAAGAGCAAATAAATGCACTGTGAAAACCATGTCATCAAGCCACAGGCCTATCTGTAGTGATATTATACACTCCACTGCCTCCAGTCACAGCCCAGGATAATGAGAATCCATGTTCAGAGTCATCTGATCTTGCAAAAATTGACAGCGCAGCTAATAATCCACCATAATTCAGAACCTGTACTGGATTTAAAATGCAGCTTTATTCTTGTTGCCTTGCTTTTGAGGCAGATTAAATAAATCAAAAAGGCAAGGCTCTCAGATCATTATTTGTATGTTACAGCTGTCCAGTTAGAGTTGACAGGCTTTCTTTACATGGCCTGTTGAATGATTAAAAGGCAGAGTAAGTCTCGGAGACTCATAAACGGAAGGAAGGGGGTTTGAGGGGAAATGATTACGACAAAGAAAAAATCAGGCTGACAAAGTAACTCACTAGAAATTGTTGCACTTCTACACAAGCACCAGGTCCCATATATATGAAAAAAAACCCAACAACAATAGCCACAGCAAGGAAACTGGATGAGCGCATTACACATTTGAAGTGGGAATCAGAACAAAGTGTTTGATACTGTTCTACATCAGAAAACTGGACTGAACCTTCTGCAAGGTGAAGAACAAGCAAACCAGAATGAAAGGTGAGACACTGAAAGTATTCCGATTAATAATATTTTTTTTCTGTTCTTTAATCCTTTCCTCTCCAAGCAGTGTTTAACTCTGCATTGAAGCTGTCTCAGTTTCTCAAGCCAACTGTTGCAGAACAACGGAATGAACTGGAAGTATTGCTTATCTTTCCTGTGAGAATGCTGAATTCTTTCAAGTGAATTCTACAGTGTAGAATTCATTATGGCAGAAGACTATATAAAATTTTAATATAAATACTACTTCATTTTTGCATGAAAATTAATATATAGTTTGATACTTAAGATGTAGTCTCAAAGCTTTAATTTATATATTTGCCAGATTCAATGTTGTAATCACGTTATTTATTTAATATATTTGTATTACTAAATTTGATTTCTGTAAGTCAATAAGCAGTATGTCCTTTTATTTCCAAAGGTTTCAAGTACCAACTAATTAAAATATTCATAATTTTGAAATAATAATATTTTTTACCATTTGAGTAAATGTTAAAAATTATTTGAGGCATCTTAAAAACAATGTTACAAGTGGATTTAAAATTCTGACTTTCTTTAGTCACAGAAAAACTATTTAATATCATCTCATTTTTTTTTTCAAATTCCATGCTGTGCACATGCACATTGCTTTAAGTGGCACCTTATTTTCAAAATAAGACCATCAGCAAGTTATGAAAGGTACAAATTATTTTTTTCAGTTAAAACTGACCTGAACATCAGGGAGCTGAAGATATTTATAAATGCTAACTATTACTAATTACTCCTCTCCACTCATTTGTCTTTTTAATGGCTTCTTAACAACTGATTGCTGGTTGTATAAGAACTTTTGTCTGTAGGAAGTACAGCTGGCATTCATACAAGGGAATTAATAAGTATAAACATAGATATTTTAAAGAACAAGCTCACAGAATCCGGATTGCTGAAACAATACTGTTAACTGGTTTTATAGTGATGTCTTTGAAACTTGTTATTCTTTTGACGGCACATTGACTTAATTCTTTTTAGTTAGTACAGTTAGTAAAAACAGAACAATGAAAGTTCTATTTGCAATTCTTCTGACACAAGATGGCTTAAACTTGCAACTACCACAGAAAGATAAACATTCCAATTTAATAACTTTAAAAAGTCTGCTGCATTACCTTCAAACATCACTGCTCTGCTGGTGGCAAGTCCTCCTGAAAAATCTGTACTTAGGATATTAAGCCATGGGAAGTACTTCATTTTAAGAACATGGATGCACTAACTTCACTCTGCATTATAAAAGTACTTCAATAATATCTGTAATTAATGAATGTATTGTAAAATAAATGAATTCTATGCTATGCTTATTATTAAGCTGTATACACTTTGCCCATATTAATAACCTGCATATTGCTAAAAGACAAACATTTTCAACTCATTTTAAATCTTCTTTCTTTTCTGATACAGGTATCTGGCTTTTGGTTCTGAGTGTCATCTTGTTAATATACAGAGCTTGTGGATGTCCTGACAAATGCCTTTGCCATACAGCTTCAAAGACTGCAGACTGCAAGAACAGAGGATTTACTGAAATTCCTGCCCATTTACCTCCTGAAATACAGATATTACAGCTGCAGAATAATCGTATTTGGAGAATCAACCAAAATGCATTCACTGGAACACCGCTGCTTAAAATCTTAGACTTGTCTAATAATTCTCTCTCAAGTTTGGCACCAGGTGCTTTCCAGAAATTACGGTATCTACAGGTTCTAAACCTAACTAGAAATATGATTCATTATGTAGAAAACAAAACTTTCAGCTTCCTCCCACACCTAAAAGAACTGGACTTGTCATCTAACAGAATTATACGTTTGCCTGATACTTTTGGAAACAGCACAGGGAATATAACTTTGCTGTCTGTGAAGCATAACAAACTTCAGAAAATGGAGAGAGTTCTGCTGGAATCGCTTCCAAACCTGAAAGTGGTTCTTTTCAAAGATAATCCCTGGCAATGTAATTGCAATGTCTTTGGCATGAAATTGTGGCTGGAGAGCTTTTTATACAGAGGTAAGGAATTCTTCTCATTACATACAATGCACATGAGAACATTTAACCAGCATCTAACTGATCTTATGCATAGGTCAGAATATAGGCGCTTTCATAAATACAGGTGGCAAACTAGAATCACACACCAACTTCATATTAGCGGAAAGAAGGAAAGTATATACACACAGTCATATAGCATGTATAGATACATGGAAATACATGTCATGTGTGTATTCATATATATCCATACATATATATAACATACATAACAAATATACATGCACACATAAGCTAGTTTTAATTCTACTGACATAGTTTTGCTAGAAACCAACCTACTGTTTAAAAGCTTTTTACCTGATGCACAAGGGTAAACAACAAGACTGATATCATTACTTCCTTTAGAAAATTTATTATTATAATTCTGCTAGAAAGTATCACCTGACATGATGAAATATGATAAAATAGTACTGTGGCACTAGAGATAATCCTTGCAAGTCCTAATAAAACATTTCTAGAGATGAAACATTGTCTGAATGTAAAAGTATTGCTGGTTGTATTCCAACGTAACTACAAAAGATTTCAGTATTTTTAGCTCAATCAAACCAAGGCAAAAAAAATTATGATGCAGCCACATAACCAATTATAGAGAATGCTTCAGTTCAGGTGGGACTCAATTCTATTCTAAATAGTCTATTCCTAACACACATCAGCAAGTTTGTCAATGTCACCAAGCTGTGTGGTTCAGTTGATACCCTGGAGGGAAGGAATGCCATCCAGAGGGACCTTGACACACTTGTGAGGTGGGCTGATGCCAACCTCATGAAGTTTAACCATGACAAGTGCAAGGCCCTACACCTGGGTCAGAGCAATCCCAGGCACAGCTACAGGTTGGGCAGAGAAGAGATTCAGAGCAGCCCTGTGGAGAAGGACTTGGGGGTGTTGGTTGATGAGAAAATGAACATGAGCTGGCTTCTGTGTGCACTGGCAGCCCAGAAAGCCAACCATATCCTGGGCTGCATCAAAAGGAGAGTGACCAGCAGGTCAAAGGAGGTGATCCTGCCCCTTTACTCTGCTCTTGTGAGACCTCACCTGGAGTATTGTGTGCAGTTCTGGTGTCCTCAACATAAAAAGGACATGGAACTGTTGGAACAAGTCCAGAGGAGGCCACAAGGCTGATCAGGGGACCGGACCACCTCCTGTATGAAGACAGGCTGAGAAAGTTGGGGCTGTTGAGCCTGGAGAAGAGAAGGCTGCATGGAGACCTCATAGCAGCCTTCCAGTATCTGAAGGGGGCCTATAGGGATGCTGGAGATGGACTCTTCATTAGGGACTGTAGTGATAGGACAAGGGGTAATGGGTTAAAGCTTAAACAGGGGAAGTTTAGATTGGATATAAGGAAGAAGTTCTTTACTGTAAGGGTGGTGAGGCACTGGAATGGGTTGCCCAGGGAAGTCGTGAATGCTCCATCCCTGGTGGTGGTGTTCAAGGCCAGGTTGTACAGAACCTTGGGTGACATGGCTGAGTGTGAGGTGTCCCTGCCCATGGCAGGGGGGTTGGAACTAGATGATCTTAAGGTCCTTTCCAACCCTAACTATTCTATGATCCTATGACTCCATATTTAGTTACTTAATACCATAGAAGGATCACGGTTTCAGGATTTTGAGTTTTATTTATATCCACATTCAAACTAATCCATTGGGGGTGTCCTGAACCACGCTTTGGGTTTGGCTATTAGTGACCAAGGGACAAGCTGTCAGGCTCGCATCTGCCTTGGAATATCATAAATATTTGTGGACTAGTCTCCAGATGTCAGTTTGGTCCATTGGTATTTACTACTTTCTCAGAAAAAGTCTTTTCAGAAAGAAAATTTCCTTGCGTGGCTGTAGCTGAAAGGTGGGTTATTTTGGAAAGAGAAGAGGAAGAAAATTCAGCTGATTAGTTAAACTTTAAAAATATGTAAACATTGGTTTTGGCCTTGTTGACTCCTTGACACACTACACCCCTAAAGACATGGTGTATGGACTAATTAGAAACCTGAAGGCTTAGTGTGTGTTCCTCTACACACTGAGGAACAACTTCGTGATTTACCATGACTGAGGCTTCCTACTTGACTTCCCTTTACACTAAAAACATCCTTTGGGAGAGAGCAAACTCTGGCTCTAGGCAGTCATTAAATTTACCATTTGAGCAAGGCAATAGAATAATTAATCCTAAATCCTTTAGCTCTCCTTATATTTTCTTACCATGAACCTTGATTCAAAAACTTACTCATGTACGCATACAACTTACTGAATTTTCTCTTTGCTTCATTGCAGTTAGCATATAATGTCAGAACAAAAACTATTTCAAGAAGTATTTCAAACAAGTGGGAAATCTTTACTAATTTCCATTTCTCTTTATAAAAAGAAATAATGGTATGAATTTGAATTGAATGTATTTGCTGTTAACAATACCTCTTTATTTTCACTTATGACGTTAGTTCTTGCTTTTCTAGCACTGTTGTTTTTTACTTCTACATCCAAAAAGTCATAAATAACTTAATTCCTGATGAATTGCTTCTTACAAATACATTATTATATGAGTGTTAGTGCTATAATATCACTATTGATCTATATGTAAAAAGATCTTAAAGATGTAGTTATTAATCTATATTTATAAAGTCAAAGATAATGATAAATATACCAGGTTTCTGTTAATTTTACATGAAGATAATTCAGAAACCACAAAATCTTCAAACCATAAACTGGGTTTTGGTTGGGTTGTTTTCTTGTTTTTCTTTTTTTGTTTTTGTTTTTTTTCAGGAGGAATAAGTGATGGCATTATCTGCTCAGCCCCAGGGATTCGGAAGGGAAAGGACCTCCTCAAAGTTCCCTATGAGCTATTTGGGGCATGCCCTCTAAAGACAGCTCACTTTCATCTGGCTAGCATTCACCACCATAGCTCTGAGCACAGAAGTTCTCTGAAGCATACTCATCACAGTGAGCATGGGGAAAACAGCCGTTCAAACTGTGAACTCAAACCGAAGCCCAGGCCTGTTAGTTTGCGTCATGCAATTGCCACTGTAGTAATAACTGGAGTTGTCTGTGGAATTGTGTGTCTAATGATGTTGGCAGCTGCTGTTTATGGTTGTGCCTATGCTGCAATTACTGCTAAATACCACAGAGAACATTTGGCCCCGGTCAGACAACATGGGACTCCTGAGGAAAAAGGGCTATTTGATAGTTCCTTGGCTTGAGTTACTTCTGTCTGGTTTCTTGAAAATAAAGCCCTCACTTCGGTTAAAAAGCCTGGAATACTTTTTTTTTCTTTCCTCTTGTTATATATATATATATGTGTATATATATATATATACACACACACATATACACATTCTTTGAAATATATATCTTTATGCATTATTGTCCTGAAAAATACAAAATAGCTACAAATGATTCACTATATTTCAAGATCTTAGAATATCTGGTATGCATCCAGAAATACAATGCACAGTCAGTTTTAGAACCAGACAGTCTCTACTGATAAATGTGTTAAAAAAAATTTCAAATACGAGTTTTTGACCATCCAGTCAGCCCTAAAAGACAACAATTAAACATTACATCTGTAAATTACAAAGTAGGCACTACCTTGTTAACTACCACATATCATTTTTAAATTAGTTGGTAGGGAAAAAGGTAGAGAGCTGAGAAAATGCTGAGGAAAGAAGAAATGCTACGCTGTTTCAGATACGAGCACTGAATGAGCACATACAGTATATATGAGGAGACACTACCCATTATCCTGCTGGCATATATGCTTGCTACAGACATTTCTGAAGCTTCTTATTCCCAAATCCACACACAAATGTTCCATTTTGCAAATATCATGACTGCAGATGCAGCTCCCATCACAGTGCTGCCCTTCAGTAGGAGGATAATATAATTGCATGTTTACACATTCTCTCTCACAGAGAGAACATTCAGCTGAATTCAGTCAAGGGTCCACCCTAACTTTCTGCAGTAAAGTTTTGCCATCAGAGGAAATAACAGCCAAAACCATTTGAGCAGTTTGGAACAGATAGAATATTTTGAATGTGCAGAAGTTATTTTTGGTTTGTTTTTTTTTTTAATAATTCTTAGAAATTATTTTAAAGCAACCAACAGAGATCAGCAACTCCCTCTATGTTTTCCAAGACCAGATAAAAGGTATCCAGGCTATTTTTGACAGATGTCTAATGTGTTCTCTAACTCTCTGCTGTGACAGGGTTAAAGACCCGCCTAGGTAGCTAATGCAGAAATCAACTATGCTTACAGTCTAAGATAAGTCTTAGCAACGTCAACCTTTGGTAAAAATCTTTCCAGTTTATTCCATTGGGCAGAAGACTTAAGGGCGATAGCCGAGTATCAGTCTCCAGTAAGGGCAAAAGAAGCTGTGTCGTGGCATTCCACTCTCCTTCCAACAGATGGTTTCCAATATCAAGTTCTGTAGCTATTCTAATAACAGCCTCAACTGAGTAATGGGCTATATGGCAGGAGTCATGTAACCCCTGTTCTTATCTACTTAGCAATAATTGCAACCTAAATATTAAAGCTCATTCCTGCATCTGCAGTTACTTTCATGTACAGATAAAATTAAGCATCTCAGTCTTAATCTAAATCTAGCAGACATTGAAAACAAACAATTAGTCTGTCTTTTTTTTTTAACTGTTAAGTACTTCATATACTTATTAGACTACTCTGTTCATTCTTCTCTGTCCTGAGCTAAATAAATCAAGCTGTTTCAAGTTTTCTTGTAGAGCCACGTTCTCCAAATCCTTTTTTTTTTTTTTTACTTTTTTTCCTCTGCATTCCCTGGAACCTTTTCAGTTCTACATTTTGTTAAAATGTGGTACCCTAGATTGGGCACATTACTTCAGCTGAGACATCATCAGAACAGAATTTATAGAATATTTACATTCAGGCTTTTTAAATCTGATCTCTTGACAATGTATCTCAGAAACAAGTTTGCTTTTTTCTTTTAAATATTCAGTAAAGCTTAATGAATAGCCTGTTTTGAGAGCTAAGTCATTTGAGTGTGTAAATCTACATTTTCTACACTTTATATTTTGCTTTGTAAAATGTTATTGCAATAAATGGAATAGTTTTTCAGATAGAGAAGACTGAAGTAATACAGGATAGGATCTTATTGCCCATAGGCCAAATAATGAGTTCCGAGCCACACCAGATCAGTGCTTTTCTAATGGTAACAACCTAAAATAAGCACACTTGTACCCAAACTGTATATCCCAAGATGAAAGCTAATAAACCTCTGACCTCCAGAAGGATTTCACCCACAGTGTCTCTAATAAGCTTGGATACAGCAATGCAAACAAGTTCCCACTTCTGATATCTTCAAGCAAAGGAAAAACGAGAACTGAATTGATATTTCCTAGTCTGGAACAAGCCGAGAATCTTCTAAGTCCTTAAAAACAAGTTCTATCAATACAGACGTACAGGCTTTCCATACAGTAAGACCATTAAAGAAAAGAAAAAAAAAAGTGAAGAAGAGGCAATCAAGGGCACAACAATATTTAAAGAAACTCCTTCCTAGTCACATTTAAGATTCTTTGGGGATTTTTATGCAGTAAAACGGAGTTCTGCCAGAAAGTAAAATATCTCATACTTCCATTAGTTCACTTTGCTATGGGAGTAGAGCAAACCAATCCATGAAAAATCTGATTTATACTTTTTAACTTGCTGTTTGTTAAAGAAAAAAAAAAAATCCTAACAAAAAATCCAGATAAATCTTTATTTAAGGGTTACATAAGTATATACAAGATTTCCAAATGTGTTTGCAATTAACAAATTCAGTTATTTATGATGATAAGTTAATAGCAGACATTCAACAAAGAAAAGTATTGATTCAATTACTAAATAAGTGTAATATTATTTCTTTTTCAGTAAACAGAATGTTCAGCTACTGAAAAACAGAGATAAAAGGCACAATTTATTGTCCAAAACAATTATTGACTACAACAAGTGGAAGACCGGAGATCTACGGATTCCCCACAAATCTGCCCTTAATTTGTAAAGCTTAGCAATGGACATCTGCTGCTGAAATAAGTTGTCTGCACAGATTTATTTTTCAGATAAAGGTTCCTGAGAAAGCTTTGTTGTTTTACCAGCAATCTTGTGAGAGGTATTATAGTGAACACAGTATTTTTTCCTAGTCTCTCTGAAAAACACTTTTCCTCTCAAAGTCAACAAAATCTCAGGACACACTACTCTGCAAGGTTTTTACAAAGACAGAGAAAGTAGACATATTGTTATGTTCCTGTGTTTTATACAGAGACAAAATAATAGTTTGTTTTCAGACAAAGAGGTTTTCTAAAATTTTGGTTTAGAACAGAGATTAAAAATTACAATATGACAATATTCTTTGCAGAAAATATCTTTAGAATCTATATTAAAAGAAACAAAGCTAAACTGAAACATACTAACGAGCTTGCCATGCGACTTTCCACTCCAAGCTTGCAAAACATCTATCAGAATTCAGCTTCATTATTCCTTAGTTATAAAACGTCCAAACAAAATCAGGATCCCTCTTCTTATATATCAAAGTAGAACATTTAGTGACATTATACATAGCTTACCTATCATTAACAATATTAACAAAAAAAACCCAAACAACTGTCGCCTACTAATAACCATCTCTTTTTGCTGGCCAGAATATAAAGGTGGCAAGCTTTAGTTAAGCATCCAGAAAGTATGCCTATTTCTACAACTTTGATTTTTCAACTTGGCTGAAAGTGGCATAGTAAAAATAACCATAAAAGAGTCTTGGCACTTCCAGGGTTTCTATTACCTGAAATGTGACTATATGTAACCCAGATGAGATATGCAGCAAGATCAATCATTTGGATGTGGCAGTAAGCCACAACAGGGGAGAAGGAGTACAAATTAAAAGCCCATAATAAACAACCAATGACTACATACTTCGTAACTGTTAATATTTGGAAATACGGTCTACTGGTAAGAAAACAAATTAGTTTATCTACCGTACTTAAACTAGTATTAATGTATTCATACACTACATGATTCCAGCTTCATACTTGCACAAGTTTTCAAAAGCACCTGACAGTTTATCCTGCTGCCTTGTTCTGCAAAACATACCTAGAATCTGATTGCTACTAGATCACAAGGATCTTCCCCCGACCAAATTACATAGTACTAAAACCCAGACAAGCAAACAAAAGATTCCAAAGAAAAAGCAGAAGTGCAGAAGCAAAGAGCAAAGATGCTCTATGCAATTTACTACACATGTTAATACCATACAGGTTGGGATACTGTTATAATTCAGCCTTCAGAGCCCCAGATTCTCTGAGAACAAGCTGGGAGGAAAGCCCAAGAATTAGATAAATAGGGGTTGAATTTTCAAGCCAACACTAGCTGAGTACCACCTTAAAAAGCCCTGTTATTCAATTATTCCACCTCCTAATTCTCTGTGATAAAATTAATTGCGAACAAATACAAAGGAATAAAAATGTGGGAATGGTTGTGAATACGCCTTCTAACTTCAGATTCCCTGTTCAGCCAATGGAGAAAGGCAGGATTTTGCCACATGCTCTGAAGCATCCTGTGGAGGAGCTTACCTCTCTCTGTGCATTACCTAACAAACCGTATTTCCCAAGTCATGGCTCTTAACCTAAGTCTGTGAGTTGTTTAATGTCAGACTGCACAAATACACATTTCATTTTCCTGAAACTGAAAACATTAATCTACATGCTAATATTAGATATATAAATACAAAGATAATATTCAAAATTAACAAAAAATTCTGGAAAAAACATAAACCAGTGGTTTTCCACCAACGCATGAAAAGCATTTTGAGGGATTTACTAAACACTACTACTGAATATAATCTTCTGTGGCTTATAATGTGGAATAAAGATTAAGCAAATCACTGTCTTGCCTGACAAGGAAAAGATCTATTTTAGAATGCCTCAAAAATTTGGTTGGTGTATCATTATGATGACATATTCATTTTCCCTTAGGCCTTCATACTAAAATGCAATTTTATACATGGTATCATAAATTTTAAGGTTTGTATATGACAGTGACATTTTCTTAAATCTTTTTAATAATGCAGTAATACCAAAACAATGCACATAAGAAAAAATAAATAAAAAAAAAAAGAAGCACAAAGCAGATATATTTACTCTATGGGCTATTGTAACAATATCAGTAGTTCAAAATAATTTTTATTAAATTATTGGGAGTCAGTCTTTCAAAGCATTTTCTGGGA